TTGCAGAAGAGGTTCTGTGTCTTGTGTTTGGGTTTACAGGCTCAAGCAAGCTGTCAGCGAATGTGCCATTTTGAAATTTTCTTGCTAGTAAGTGTCCCAAGCTCAAATGTCCATAACATTTCCTGTCTGTATTCCAGGGTCGTGCCAGACTGCCGATTGGCAGGAGATGGAATGGGATGCTCCAAGAATAGCGGCCCAGGAGAGATCTCCAGACAGCAGGGCCGACAGTGTAGCAGTTAACAGAAGACTATGCAAGGGGCCTGTGAGCTTCAGCGAAGTGACAGAACTGATGCCTCAGGGCAGGCAGGGCTGTGGACCGACAGGAGAGGGGAGGGGCTGCCCCCCCTTTCTGCAAGAATGCGTCAAAGCACTGCACGCTGACTGTCAGAAACAAGAGGCAGAGGCACAGACACCGTCTGCCTGAATCTGCAGAGGATATTTTGGTTATGATTCTTCTTTTGCTGCTATCAATGCTGTGTGAAAAGTTCCATTTTTAATTCTCTCCTCTCTCTCTCTCTCTTTCTCTCTCTGTCATGCTCTTGCTCTGAATTTCTCTCCCTCACTCTCTTTCTCACATTTTTCTCGGCTGCTGTCTGCCAGCTCCTCTCTGACTCGTTTGGTCTCGTCCTCTCCTCAATTCTGTCCACAGCTGCTCCACTGGCGGGGATGGGAGCTGCAGGTCCTGCTGCGGGGAATTCAGGGCGAAACAGCAGGAATACAGTGCCCTAAAATAGTCTTTTTCTGTCTCTTGCATATGTAAATATTTCCCTACTTGTTCATCACCTTCTTTCCTTTTTTAGTGTTATGAAATTGCAACCATTTCCTAGAGGAAAAATAAACAGTAGAACGGACTGTGACAAGCGAGCTGCATTCTGTTTTAAAATCCACAAGCATCTGTTTAGGCTACGACAGACCATCTACTAAAGAATGCAAAAAGCAAATGACTGTACAGGGAGAGCAGCACTAGGACGTGGAAATACAAAAAAAAAGATTTTAAAAATTTGAACTCCCCCTGTCTCTCACTCTCCCTGTTTTTCTTTCACGGTCTCTTGTTTCTCTCTCCCAGTCTCCCCCTCTCTCTCTCTCTCTCTCTCTCTCGCTGTCTCTCTCTCCCTCCCCCCTCTCCATCTCTCTTCTCCCGTCTCTCACTCTTCTATTTCAAGACTCTCGAATGTGAGTCATGGCACAACAGCTGAAATCACGTACAGCTCAGCTACGCACAAAGAGAGTTTGTTCACATTGTAATTGTGATCTCCATTATAAGTGACTATAAAAATATATAAACATGGTATTAAAGATATTACAAACAGGTAGAAAAATGAGTAAGGTTAGGGATATGGTTCAGTCTATGGTCAGGACTACATTAGCATTTTTATTAGTAACATCCCATTATTTTACAGTAGAAGTGATTATCAAATCCTTTATAAAATGTTTCCAAATGCCATACAATCCATAGTGTGACTGAGAAGGCTCAGTCCTTTCAATATACTGCACTTCATTCCTCTCATGTGCCCAGAAATAGTGATGACGATAAAGCTCAGCCCATTGCTTTGGTTGTGTTCATTTGTTGTGCACTTGAAACACTGCAAATCTTGGAAAACCGTAAAGCAGATCAAGCTATTGGTTGTCTTATTTTCATTCTATAGAAATGTCTCAAAATATAATATGAAACTGTTAACGTTTAACATAATGTGAATGTCAATGTCTTGTAATATACGTGTTGGGCGGCACTGGGGTGCAGTAGTCAACACAGGGCCCTGGGTTCAATGGAGTTTGTATGTTCTCCCTGTGTACAGTATGTGTGGGTTTTTTCTAGATTCCTGCCACAAGCCAGAGACATGCTGGTGGGCTAGCTGGCCCTGGAGCGAGTGGGTACAGTCTACAGTATATGTAAATATTTTATGACATGTCTTTGTTGTAA